CCTAAAAAGTCAGACTAGATGAGGCATGCAGTTCTCCTGCCTCATAGTAGAGGGCACTTTTTAAGAGGCTTTTTTAAACAGGCAGTCATTCAAGGTGTGGCAGCAGCTAGCTAGCCTAACCTCAGCACTTGCCTTTTCCCGTTTACATTTTTTTTCCTTTTCATGATTGACAGTGGTGAGGCTGTGCCTCCCCTGTCTCCCCTGACTGCACATCACTGTTGCATGATTAGTTCTGTATTATGGGTGAGACTACCACTCAGTAAATAGTTATTTGATATCCATTTAAACATTAACCCATAATTTCTAGACAACTTGTGTCTGATGCTCTTTCACTGTTCTGCTACAGCTGGTCTCTATTTTTCTATTAATTACATTCTCATCTACTTGTGAATTCGTTTTAGTAAGCAAACAATAAGAAAAGTATTTTCAGTATTGTTAATATTAAGCCCCTTAATATTAGAAGCCCCAGAAGCGCCCTCCTAGATGACAAAAATAAAATAGCTGTCTTTGATATTCTTTAAGAAAAAAATATTTATGGCTGGATTAGTCACTTGTTACATAAAACAGATCACATGTGGAGAAAAGATGATACATTCCAATGATATGTGGGCCACCAAGTTGAACATATGTGGAAGATTCAACTGGACTCCTTCTTTCTCTTCTTTTCTAAATAGTGTGATAGAACAAGGCAGAAGGCCATGAGAATCGCTATTTTTTAATGCAGCTTTTTGGCGCCAGATAATTTTCTTTTGTCACATGGTCAAGATTTAAATAACATTTCTGAAAGGCATAAAACCTGACCAGTAGTAATGAATTAAGTATTTAATACCAAAGAGTTAAATGAGTATCTTCAGCTTTGATGCATGGTATGTCAGTTACAAAAGGTATAAAAATTGTCATTCTGGCATTGTTTGAATCCAGGTAAATTCATTCTCAACATAGACAGATTTATTTCAGTCTACTCTAAGTAATCATGTAGAAAGCCTACTCTAGATTATTACTATTATGGAGAAAACCTATCCATGTCATTGCTATGGAGTTAAGAGTTAAGAACGACTTGATGTCAATAATCCATCAATCAATCACTCTAAATAAACATTCATAGAGCATAACTATTGTGATACAAGGCCTCATTAAATGACTTTGAAGCCAGTGGGAGTGAGAGCTCCCAATGTGTTACACTAAGTTTGGAAAGGAAGCAATGAAGCTAAGCTATAACCTATAACAGGGGCATGGGTAGTCAAGACAAGTCTCTATAGCAGTTAATAGAAAGTAATCCTCCCAGAGAAAGTCCTTCAAAATCAAACTTGGAAGATGGATAAGCCAATCAGTTCTTCACAATTGCCAAGGAAACTATGTCTATGACTATAACATTCAGGGGAGTTTGGGTTTCAGATGGAAAGATCTCCAGTTGGGAAGACATTTCTTTGGTTATTGGGAAGAGTAAACAATATAGCCAGATAAAAGCAGAAAGGAAATCTAGTCACCAATGGGATCACCAATGAAACATGAATTCTTTCATTTATGAGGATACAAACAACTGGACTATAGAATATGAAAGGCATTAAACAAGAATGACTTGAAAATATCAAAATGGAAATGAAGTGGATGTTTTAGGAACATATGTTCAAGTGAACTGGAATGGGCCATTTTAAATATTACATGATTAAAAAAGTGGTAGTGATATTTTGCTATAATCCAATAAATGACAAGATTAGTAGATATCCAAGGGATATTAATATTGATAATTAATATTGACAATATTGACAACAAATGGTGAAGGACCCTGATGATTCTATAGTAAAGTATATGAGAAGAGTACTACAAAAACTGGAAAAAATGTACAACTAAAAATTAGCTAAATAGAAGAACCTGGAATTATGAATAGATTTGGATTAGAAAAAAATAATAATGCTGGAAATAATTTTACTAAGCGTTTTGTGGTTGCTCATCCGATTCAGGTAACATAAATGAATGTTCTAAACTTGTTCATCATTGGATGAACAACACTGGAATCAAATTAAGTAACTATATAAGATGTGCAATTCAATCAGCCAAGACATTTCTGGGTACAATTTGTGGAGCTGAACATGATTTAGTAGTGTTAAATACACAGTTTAATTAGAAAATTAAAGTGAGTGGGTATTATCAGAATACCTAAATGAATGGTGTGGAAG